TTCGCCTCTGGAGAAGATGTGTCTGTCGTTCACAGGGCTCGTCTCCGCCTCCGACTCCGGCATTTGCGTGCTGAGCTCTAAAACCCCGGGAGCATCGCCCTCTCCATCTGTCTTAGACCCCTCCGAGCCTGGATAGGAGTGCGGGGAGGCCGGAGAGGCTGCCGGAAGTGATGTCATTACGCCGGAAGTGATGCCGTCATTATGCCGGAAGTGATGTCAGTATCGCCTCTCCCTGTGCGTTTCCTGCGTCAGCTGAGGCCCTGTGCTGCCCCGATGAGGCCCACGTGTGCAGCCGAGAGAACACGCATATGAGCTCTGAGCCCCAGTCCTGCCGTCTGTCCTCATCACCACTATCACAAGGCCGGGAAGGGTGACAGTGACACCTGCTAAGCTCTTCTCGCTGCCGGTGCCGGGGTGGAGCCGCGGGCAGCCTCGGGGGACCTCACTTCATCCTGGCAGCGCTCCTGTGGTGGGCACGGGCACCCTTATTGCCTCCTTCTGACAGATCAGAAGGCGGACCGTCCAGGGTGGGGTTGATGAGGAAGCTTCCGGATGCCGGAGGGACAGGAGGGCCCCAGGTCGGGGACAAAGACTCTCACAGCCAGAGGAATGAGCTGGTTTCTCTCCCCGCCCAGTCCCGGGGCCCTCCAGGGGCTGCGGGCTACAGGGATTTGTCTCACCGTGGATCAGCCTTGAACCTGGGAAATCTGCTTTGCAGCACGCGCCGAACAAGCCTGCTCCTCTCCGCGGAGGGAGAAAAAGCCTCGTGCCCAGGGGTGCTGGCCGCAGACACAGCACCGAGAAGCGATCTGGCATCTGACCCTTCCCAGCAGACGCCCCACGGGAGACTGTCCGGCACCAGCACGTGGTGGGAGCAGGCAGCTGAGTCCAGGGCCCAGGACGTGGAGGGTGGGGGACGCGGGGAGGAGCAGGCCAGCTCCGAGCGGCCAGCTGAGGGGTCTGTGCAGAGGCTGTGACGTGCCTGCGCCTCGGGAAGGGGGCGCGGTTTCCTCGGCTGCTTTTGGGGCTCGGGCGAATCTGACAACATTTCACGCACAATCGGTGACACCATCTGTGGCTTCGTGGGGAAGAGGACTCATGGCCACTGGCTCTGTCCTCGTGGGAGAGGGTCTTCCCTCCTCCCTTCACCCCAGAAGCTCGAAGCTCGGTCTCCCCACCCCCAGCTGGATGTCGCCCGCAGACAGCCGGCCCCTCGTCTCAGCTGCAGGCGTCTGCTCCCACCCTCCGCACACCTGCCCTGCATCTTGTCAGCGTCTCCGATTTCCAGTGTCTCCTCTTCCTCCCCAGCTGGGCATCGCACGGGCATCCTCTGGTCTGCTGGTCTCGAGCTCGGGGGTTCAGAGCACGTCCCTGTGTGGGTTGTGCCCAAGAAGGACCACATCGGCACCTGCAGGGATGCCGTACACACGCCAGCGCTGTGAGACGTCCCGGGTCACTTCCCTGGGCAGCCACGGGGAGTCACCGCCCTGCACCTTGCACAGGACCCCTGCGCAAGCCCAAGGTATCGCATCCCACTCAGGAAGACGACGCCTAACTCCCTTTCCAGCTCCCATCCCTCTGAGTCCTCCCTGAGCTTGGGCTCCGTGTGCCCAGGCAGGGTCGCCCCCGGAAGGCAGGATCGCCCCCTGGAAGGCAGGGTCACCCTCTGGAAGGCAGGGTCACCCCCGGGAAGGCAAGGTCGCCCCTGGAAGTCAGGGTCGCCCCTGGAAGGCAGGGTCACCCCCTGGAAGGCAGGGTCGTCCCCTGGAAGGCAGGGTCGTTCCCTGGAAGGCAGGGTCGTCCCCTGGAAGGCAGGGTCATTCCCTGGAAGGCAGGGTGGTCCCCTGGAAGGCAGGGTTGCCCCTGGAAGGCAGGGTCGTCCCCTGGAAGGCAGGGTCGTTCCCTGGAAGGCAGGGTGGTCCTCTGGAAGGCAGGGTTGTTCCCTGGAAGGCAGGGTCGTTCCCTGGAAGGCAGGGTGGTCCTCTGGAAGTCAGGGTCGTCCCCTGGAAGGCAGGGTCGTTCCCTGGAAGGCAGGGTGGTCCTCTGGAAGGCAGGGTTGTTCCCTGGAAGGCAGGGTCGTTCCCTGGAAGGCAGGGTGGTCCCCTGGAAGGCAGGGTCGTCCCCTGGAAGGCAGGGTGGTCCCCTGGAAGGCAGGGTCACCCCCTGGAAGGCAGGGTCACCCCCTGGAAGGCGCCTGCCTCTCTGCAGGCAAAGCTCCACCAGAGGAAACCCAGCCCATCCCTCACTCTTGCTGCACCAAGCACGTACACGGTCTAAAGAAACACGCAGTCCGTGCTCCGCATCCACGTAGATGCAGGGCCCCAGGTGCATGTGCGTCTCCTCCTGTCGAGCCCACATCTCCCGCTGGCCTGTCTGCTCAGCTGCCACCTGAGCTGCCCACTTCACGCTTCGCCCCTAAACACCCCTCCCACAGCTTCCACCCCTGGTTCTTGGCCTCTCGCTCCTCTCCCTGGGGAAGCACACTCAGAACTCGAGCCCCTGTCATCCCTCGGGGCCCCCACTGAGCTCATCTCAGCGCAGCCTCTGCCTGCCTTCCTGCCATGGTGCCACCCCTCCCCTGTACCCCAGAGCTCACCCTGCCTCCTCCCCAGCAGCTCTCCTGCCGTTTTCTCTGGCATATCCCTCAGCCTTGCATTCCCTCCACCACTGAAATCACCCTGGGATCTCTCCCATCTCAAACAAAAAGCACCAGGAGCCTCCCTGGCACCCACTTCCGTGACCAGCCTCTCTGCACTGCCGTCCGATGAGCCGTGGGCAGCAGGCAGCTCTCCACACTCTGGGCCTCCGTTTCCCTCCCGCCAAGCTCTGGGCGCCCACTCCTGCACTCCATGTCTGTCGGTCTCGTCACGTTCCCTGGGGACCCAGGGTCTGTCCACAGCAGCACCGGCCACCAAGTCTCACCCCCGCCTTCTCGAGAGATTTTGTCAGGTTGGCTTTGGAGCATTATTGTTTTACTCTTACGTTTCCCTGGAACTCCATGGCCAGTCCTTCTAAGACCCTACCCCGTACGCCCTGGGATGGCCCTCGCCCCTCGGCTTCTCCTGGAAGACCCCCGTGCTAGGGCTCTGCCCCTCCTCCCTCTGTCTGGGATCTTGTGCCCTCAGGATTTGAACCTTTGGAAATCTAGAAGTGACCTCGAGCCTGACATACCCTGGCAGAACTCGCACCCCAGATTTCTCCCTCAAGTCTTCCTCACCTTAGGGGCTCCAATCGAAAGCACCAGTCGCCCTTGTCTCTGCTCCTCCTACACCTCGGGCCGACCCACCAGCACGCCTGGCGCTGACCCTCAAGAGCGGCGAGGGACCCCGTGTGGACTTTCAGCCAAGCCACGCCTTCCACCTGGGAGAAGTGCAGTGGCCTTGCCCCTGCCTCCACCGTTGGTCTACACAGCTGCCGGATGAGTCTACAAGAGGTCGGTGGGCTTGCTCACTCTGCTGTTACCCCTCCACGTTTTCTCCCCCAACAGAGCACATCAAACCAGGAGGGAAGGACCTGCTGTGCCATCTCACATCGCAGCCTCTTGGAATCGGAGCTTTTTAGAGCGAGGGGAGATAAAGGAGAGTGGGGACAGTCACAGACGGAGCAGGTCACCCAGCCAGCAAGGAGGTGCCAGCCCGGTCCCGCCGGCGCCCAGCGCGTGCTCTCAATCCCTCGGCTTTCTGCCGCCCAGGGAAGGCTTGTTAGGGTCGGGCCGCGGTGCAGTGAGGCTTTGTGGGATGGCTGTAGCAAGGAGAAAAATGCCTTCGGGCAGAGGCTTTTTAACCCAATCCCAACCCCAACCAAAGCGCCGAGGTAGCCTGCCCCCCTGCATCCCCGGCGCTCGCTTTTTTTTCCTTAGACTTCTCCGGGGGGGGGGGGGGGGGCTGCATCGCTGCCCCTGCAGGACACACGCTTTGGGAAGCTTGCTGACCTCCGAGAAGGTTCTCAGCTGGTGGACACTGACCGTGCGTGGTCGTGCTGCCCAAGAGGCCTGGCTCGCGCCCTGTGGCACGTGGACTCGGCCTCTGGTGAGCCTCCTGCTGGGTCCCAGTGCACTGGGGGGGCACCCACGGCCTTCACGTGGCCTTGATGCAGGGGTCTGGACGAGCAGTTACTGAGTGAGTCACTCATCCCCACGTTTTCACTGAGGACCTTTTACTTCTCGTGGAAAATGCGGATTATGAAGAAACGGAACGTGGATTCCAAAAACATTTTGTGCCAAAATTAATCTAATTTCATTTTTTCATGAACTTTTTGTTTGAAGCACCCTCTGTGGATGAGGCCCTGGGCCAGCCCTGCCCCCACTGAGTTCCCCACGTCCCTGGCCCTGGGATAATCCGGACCCCCCTGTGCCAAAGTCTTCTTCCCAAGGAGCTTGGCCACACGGCGACTGCAGGGGCACTGAAATGCACCAGCAGACTTAAACATTGAGCTTTTCACAGCAGCACAATGAAGGCCATTTTGGTGGAATCATTGCCTGTGTGGGGAGCAACCCGGACTGGACTGAGTTACTGGAATTAAGACTTATTCTATGCATCTGCTCTCCCACAATATGGTGCTGAGAAGGGAGAAACAGCTTCTACACAGCTGCCTCCAGTTCAACCAATAAACTGTAGGACTTGCTCCTGATTGGAGGAGAGCAGCGTACTCGGCGTGTGGGTAGCAGAGTTGGGATTGGCGGAAGAGGACTATAAAGGAGGAGAGAGACAACATGCACCAGGAACATCTAAGGGGAACATCTATCTGAAGGAACACTGTGCAGCCCCCGAGAGAGCCGGCCGGCGGTGTGCCGCTCCCCCGCGGAAGTGGGGAATGTGGCAGGGGGAACCGCCCTTCCACGGAGGTGGAAGGGACGGTAGCCAACCCGGGAAGAACCAGCAGCAAACCCGGGGAGGGCCGAGCAGACAAAAGAACAGTGCAGGGTCCTGTGTCGTTCCTCCACGAAGAGAGGGCGCGACAGCCTGCACCCTGATGAGGAGCAGGGCTCTGCCTGAGAGCTCAGGGGCCGGCGCTGTGGCATAGCAGGTAAAGCTGCCACCTGCAGTGCCAGCATCCCATATGGGCGCCGGTTCAAGTCCTGGCTGCTCCACTTTCCATCCAGTTCTCTGCTATGGCCTGGGAGAGCAGTAGAAGATGGTCCAAGTCCTTGGGCCCCTGCACCCACGTGGGAGACCTGGAAGATGCTCTTGGCTCCTGGCTTCGGATCAGCACAGCTCCGGCCATTGTGGCCATCTGGGGAGTGAACCAGCAGATGGAAAACCTCTCTTTCTCTCTCTCTCTCTCTCTCTCTCTCTCTCTCTCTCTCTCTCTCCCTCTACTCTCTGTAACTCTGCCTTTCAAATAAAATGAATAAATATTTTTAAAAAAATAAAAGATGACACATTTAGCCAGCAGACTGCCCGGCACAATTCAACACCGCAGATTACCCGGTGACAGCAGAGGGAAATGAGGCATGGGTGCTGCTCGGCTAACTCCTGCTGAGTCCCGGAACCCTGTGTGTGTGTACTCAGCCTGGAGCCCTGTGAATGTGTACTCAGCCCGGAGCCCTGCGCGTGTGTACTCAGCCCGGAGCCCTGTGCCTGTGTCACTCAGCCCGGAGCCCTGTGCCTGTGTCACTCAGCCCGGAGCCCTGTGTGTGTCACTCACCCCAGAGCCCTGTGCCTGTGTCACTCAGCCCGGAGCCCTGTGCCCTGTGTCACTCAGCCCAGAGCCCTGTGTGTGTCACTCAGCCCGGAGCCCTGTGTGTGTCACTCAGCCCGGAGCCCTGGAGGGAGAAGAGATTTGCGTGGCTCCCATGGCTCCAGCAGAGCAGCAGTCGCCGGGAGAGAACCCTCCCGGTGCCGGGAAGTAGCTCGGCACGCGCCAGCAGCCAAGTCCAATCACAAAGAGAGCTCAGGGGCAGGCGGCTGCAGCCCCCCATCCCTGGGGTGTGAGGGCGGTGCAGCAAACAGGGAAAGTGTTCTTGTCAGGAGGGTACGTGCGTGGGAAGCCGGTGGTCCCCCGTGCCTGCCTTCCCTCTCCACTGCGTGCCGGTCTCTGAGGGGAATCGGCCAGGGCGGACGGCCCTCTAGGTCACCATCAACGCCACGAGCCCCTGCCGGGCCTGGGCGTCGCCGGGCTGCCTCGTTTTCTTCCTTCTCAGGAGTTCAGGTTGTGCGGAGTCCCTCACCCAGGCGAGCAGCCAGGCCCTCATTCCACGTGGGAACTGCAGCAGGAAACACAGGGAGTTGACACAAACCACATCGTGTGGCCGGCTGGATGCTTCTGGGGCTGCCAGGGAGACTCGCACTCAGGGAGCCCCAGTTCCGTGTCGAGCCCGCGGGGCCCGCGCTGGGCTTCTTCCATCCCTTCGTCCAGGGAAAGTTCAGCAAAGCAAAGCAGCGCGGAGGCCGGGAGCGGCAGGGTTGTGCTGACGGTGTTGAAAAATTGCGCTCCTGGTAGCTCTTGGCAATTGAGTCCTCTCTCTCTCTCTCTTTCTGTCTTTCTGGTTTAAAAACATCAGGACTCTGCCTCCCTGGGTATTTGCTATGCGAAACATCATCTCATCTCTCAACTCTGCAAGGGGAGGCGGGAAAGGCTGAGGAACCAGAGGAGGCGGGGCCCCAGGCCACCTGCAACTCACCCCGTGGACGGCAGCAGGAGGGCAGTCGGTCCTCGTTAGTCGACTGTGAGTCCTGGTGGCCTCCTTGGCCTGGGGTTGCCGGGTGGACGCCACCAGGAGGTTAGGAGAGTTGACACAGTAGGTTCCTGAGGGCAGCAGGACAGGTCAGAGGTCACAAACCATGACACGCACCTGCTCTGTGTAAATAACCCAGGGCCCAGGAGGGCTGACGTGGTGATGGCTCCCTCCTTCCGCTGCCCACCGTGCAGGAAGCAGAGGGCTGGGTCCCTGGGAAGCTCAGTCGTGGCCCAGAGCCCCTGTCTGTTGGAGAAGGCCGGGGACCAGGGCTGCAAATCCAGGTGCTCACAAGTCTCCCTGGACAGAGCGGAGGCGAGGGGACCAGCCCTGCGGTGCAGTGGGTTAAGTGGCCACCAGTGACACCGGCATCCCATAATCCCATAGGAGCACAGATTTGGTTTCCAGCTGTTGTGGTTCAGATCCTGCTCCTTACTAACGTACCTGGGAAAGCCGACGGTGGCCCAAGTGCTTGGGTCCCTGACACCAAGTGGAGACCTGGCGGCCCTGGCCATTGCAGTCATGGGGGCGTGAACCAGTGGAGGGAAGATCTCACTGTCTCCCTCTCTCTGTAGCTCTGCCTTTCACATAAATATTTTTAATTTTTTTTTTAAAGAACAAGCAGTGGTGAGGCTCTCATGGGCCCTAGGACCTGGAACCTCCTTGGCACCCACCAGTGGCCTGCCCGGGGCAGCACCAGCCCCATTGCGACAAGGCTCAGAGGGCTCTAGATCCAGAGGCCAACCCTGGCACCAGCTGCCTGCAGGAACACCCTGGGGCCCTGTGATCCACCCCGTCTGCAGCCGCCATCACATGCCCCTCAGCATGCCGCAACCTGGTTTATAGAGGTGGGGAGGCTGCTAGGGGGACCCCGCACTCCCTGGACCGCGGCCAGCAGGAAACAGCGGGGGCGACTGCCTGCCCCCTCCGGTCAGTGACTCCATGCGCAGCCAAGACCCACCTGCAAGGGGGCTGCCCAGGCGGCTGCAGATTGAGGAGGTGGGGGGGCAGCCGGGTGCAGCTCCAAGCTCAGATCCCGGTGGGTGAAAGTCTCCTTCCCCTCTCCTGACGCCCACGTGCCTGAACAACACGGACCCACGGCAAGCGCGGCACCAGACGGCTGCCGGCACCGCTCCCCCGTGACCTCAGCCACGCCCTGGTCCACTCGGCTCCACGCGCCAGTGGTTTCTGAGGCTGAGCGTCACCTGTGTTATTATCCACTTATTGTCTCTGCTTAGCTGACTTTGTCAGCTGAAATGAATTTGTTCTACGAGGAGCCGGCACCAGAGCTGGAAAGTGTTTGCATTAACAGGAGATCATAGCACTGATGAATATGACAAAAGTGAATACTGTTTGGCTCCGTAGCATCACTCATGCTTGGTCCTGAGCCGAGGGCTGCGCTCTCCTTATTGAAAAGGTAAATGAGGAAGTGCGGGGTGTCGGAGAAATGCTGTCTGGAGCAGAGATTTGTCTTCGGCATCAGATGCGTTGGGCGGCAGGAAGGGGCTGCGGGCTCCGTCCGCACTTTCTCCTCTGATTTGCCCAAGTCGGGACTTGGGGGTGGGACGCGGCTCCAGATGGAGGACGGTGGATCAGGACCCAGCTTCTCCCTGGGACCCAGGCCCCAAACCTACAGGAAAGGGGGCCATGAGTGTGCTGGGGCTCCCTATGCATTCGATGGAGATTTAGTGCAGCTTTTGCCTCTCTCGGGCTCTGGGGACACAGGTCCCCGTCTCTAAGTTTGCTCAGATCTGGGGACCCTGGGCCGCCTGCTCCCCAGTCTTCCGGTGGGTTCTGTAACACTGACAGCTCCCGAGAGTCCACGGGGGCTCTCGCCGGGCAGGGCGTCTGCTTCCTCAGTGTTTTCCTCTCCCGAGTGTCACGGATGGGGGTTCGGCAGCGACGCGGGTGACCTTTCTCCCCAAAGCTGGGCTCCCAGAGCCTGCACAGCCCTGGAAAGCGGAGGGCCCGTGGGAGCCGCTTCTCAGGGCCGGCTCTGGGCCTCGCCCTTGCTTTCTGGTTGCTCTGCAGGGAAGGAGCTCATGGGAGTCGAAGCCTGCAGGGCAGCCCAGCGGGGTTCTTACTAGCGCCTGGGGCTCTGAGCTGGGCGCCCTCCGGGGGAGGTGAGCCGAGCGTGTGTCAGCCATGAGCAGCTGGCAGGGGCGTTGGTGCATGCGGGAGACTCAACGCGGGAGGAGATGCCCGCCTGCCCCGACTTCATGGCTGTGGGCGTTACGAGGGGGCTGTGCTGATGGAAGCGGGGCAGGGCAGGCCCCGGAGTGCCCGTCTGGGCTTCCCGTGTTAGCTGTGTCTCTGTGCAGGGCAGCAGCCTGGGTTCCTCCCAGAGCCTCGCTCTGCAGCCTCCCTTTGCACCCTTCCTCCTCTCTCCTCTGTTTCCAAAGAGCACCGATAAGGCACCTACTATATGCAGAGCACCAGGCCACACACACAAGGGCTCCCAGCAGGGCACGCAGGCTGTGGTAGTCTGTGCTGAGCGCAGCCCTCGAGCTCGGGGTCTGGGTGCCAAGTCCGCCTGTGCGACCTCCTGCCCTGCAAACCTGGCCGCAACAGACCCTCCAGCGGCCCCGACTCAAGTCCAGACAGCAGAGGCGCTCAGTGCCCAGCCGCGTTTGCCACGGGTGAAGGTGCATCTGTCCAAGAGCGCACGTCATCCCAGGGAGACGGGGATCCGGGCAGGGCGGGGTCTTTTTCCTCCCCATTTTGGGGCTGAGCGGTAGGAGGAGATACAAATATGTCCTGTTTCATCCAAGTGCCACGTGGAGAACTGGGTGACCGGGGGCAGCGTGTCCCAGTGGCTTGGCTCCGTGATCCGAGCAATGTGAGCAAGGCCAAGGCCAAATGGGCCGTGTCCGGGATCCTCTGTGATCAGCCTGTTAATCCCAGCTCTGCTGCCAGTGGTAGAACACAGGAAGCCGCATCACCACCGGGAGGAATGAGTGGGCGAGGACCCAGCAGGGTGCCCACGCAGGTGGCCGACCTCCAGGCAAGAGCCACACAGAGGGGCCTCCGTCACCAAGGCTTGTACCCGGCGAGGACCCAAGCCCGGGTGCCACACACAGGACAGGGTCTGCACCTGGCAAAGCAGGACAGGATCCCAGCCCCCACCCCCGGCAGGTGCAGCTCTGACGCGCCTGCTCCCCTGGCCTGCCTCGGAGGGCACCTGTCAGCGATTGCAGGCCCCACGCTGTCCCTCTCTGCCCTGGGTGCTCCCCCTCCAGCTGTGGTCCCCGTGTGCCATGCTGCAGGTTTGACTTCTGTATATGGCCGCCCTGTGGCTGTCTGTGATGGCCTCGCCCATGGTGCCTGGCTCACAGGGAGCCCCAGGCAATGGTGGGTGAGGAGTGGGCGTGGCCGTGTCGGCTTCCCACATGGCATCTGCCCGCAGACCAGGACCCTGCCCCCGTGGGACTGAGAAGGACCAGGCGGCTCCTCGTCTGCTTCCGATCTCCCGTAGGGCACGGGCTCTTGCAGCCAGAGTCAGTGTGCCCTCGAGTTACGAAAACGCCCGTATGCGCGCTTGGTGACAGGGTCGGGGCTAATTTCTGTAAACCTGACCCCGAAGTTTCCCCGTTCCCATGCTTTTCCCTGGAACCCTGGGCAGAAGCATCGAGACTCTTCAATGGTGGTTAAGAAGCAGACGCCGGGTGGGCATTGGCACAGCAGTGATAAGGACGCTTGGCACACACTCCCGCATCGGAGCGCCTGGGTGCCAGTCCCGGCTCCAGTTCCAGCTTCCTGCTGACGCGCGCCCTGGGAGGTGGTGGTGACGGCTCAGGTAGCTGGGTCCCCGCCACCCGTGTGAGAGACAGAGCTCTAGGCTCCTGGCTCCAGTCTGGCCCAACTCAGACCACTGCAGGCATTTGGGTTGTGAACCGGCGAATGGCCCACTCTCTGCCTCTCAAATAAATAAAACATGGCTTTAAAAGACTCACACATTCCCACCTATTCCACGTGAAGCAGGGTTAACCGGTGCCTTGGGCTGGGGATTTTCTGGTCACTCTCATCCACATACCTACTCACTCATTTGCTCAATCACTCATTCGGCCAACAAACACGCATCTGTAGTCACCGAGTGTCGGCGGTGCTGCGTGATCCAGGCACTGGAGCCACGCTGCGGTTCACGGGCCTTGAAGGTCAAGGGAGGCAGGGAGGGGCTGGGGCTTGGAGGCTGACCGCAGGGCACCGTGGTGGGTCTACTGGGAGAGGGAAAGACGTGTGCTGCCCGGGGTGCGAGCGGAGAAGCCGGGCTGTGCTTGGACAGGGGTGGAGCGCACAGCCGGAGGCATCCCAGCACCCCTGCGCTTCTGAGGGGGCCTGGGCTCACACGTTTGGGGGGTTTGCTGGCAGATGGCACCCTGGGGGATCCCGTGGGGCTGCCAGTAGCTGCCAGGTGTGCAGAGGGCTCCGGCCTCTCACACAGGTGCACACCCGAGGGGCAGCTGTGGGTGTGACGTGTGCAGAGGGCTCCGGCCTCTCACACAGGTGCACACCCGAGGGGCAGCTGTGGGTGTGACGTGTGCAGAGCTCCGGCCTCTCACACAGGTGCACACCCGAGGGGCAGCTGTGGGTGTGACGTGTGCAGAGGGCTCCGGCCTCTCACACAGGGTGCACACCCGAGGGGCAGCTGTGGGTGTGACCCTGGCAGGGCTGCCGCTCACCTGGGCCAGGTAACCAGGCTCCTGATGTTTAGTCCTGGTGTGGCCTTGCAGATGGACACTGGCGAGTGGTGCGTTCCCGGAGTGGCCCCAGGAGGCGGCGGCATCTGGGACATTCCTGACTTCCTGGGCTGGGTAAGGGCAGCGACTTGTGGCCGAGCATCCCAGGCCTGTGACGCCCCCAGGAACTCCCCCCATCAGGAGGCGGGGACTGCCGGTTCCTGCGCTGGATGCCGAGGGCTCACCTTCAAGGTGACTTCTGATGGCTTCCCCCAGGCCAAGCCTTGCGTCTCTGGGGTGGGGGTGGGGGTCGCGCTTGGAGGGCCGGGGCGCTCTCCTTAGCTTTCTGGAACTCAGCGAGGCTGTTCCAGTCCAGGCGACGGGAGGAACTGGTCAGCAGGGCCCTGGGCTGGACTCTGAACCCGGGACAAGGACGATTCTCAGAGGGAGACTTCAACACTGCACCATCTCCTCCTGCCCCACCGCAGGGCCGAGTCACTGCGCCCCCTGCGGCCGCGTCCGCACACGCAGATTCCTCGCTAAAGAACCATGTGGGTTCCTGTCTTCAGAGAACTGAAACCACCAGGAAGGCACAGTTACTTCTCTCTCTCATCTGTCAATCATCTGCCTACCTATTTTCTATCTATCTACTTGTCTATCTATCTATCTATCCGTCTATTATCTATGTATAATGTATCTATTATCTACCTGTTACCTATCATCTAATCACATGCCTTCCTGTCACCTATCACCTATCATCTTCCTATCACCTGTCATCTATGTGGTTCCTGAGGCCATCAGGCCCTTACTCAGCGGATTTGAGCTGGCCTTGAGAAAGGAGAGGGCGGGGAGACTTCTCGGAGGATGTGTGATTACTCTGGGAGTGGGGACAAAGAGTGAATGTTCCCTGAAGCGGAGACGGTGTGAGCAAAGGCCCTGTGGCAGGAGGGAGAACAGGATTTAGGGTTCTTGTGGCTGGGAAGGAGCAGGGCACAGGCAACTAAGAGATGAGCTGGAGAGGTGGGCGGGTCCACACCACCTGGGGCCAAAAAGCAACCAATTACTTAAGAGGCAAAGAGAGAGAGCGAGACAGAGAGCCCTCGGCTGCTTCATTCCCCAATTCCTGCGGTAGCTGCCTGCTTACGCTGGGAGCCAGGAGCTCCTTCCGGGTCTCCCATGTGGGTGGAGGGACCTAAGGACTTGGGCCATCACCTGCTGCCTCCCAAGGCGCTTGTTAGCAGGAAGGTGGAAGTGGGAGGTGGAGCTGGGCCTGGGAGCCAGGCTTTCCAGCCTGGGAGGCAGGGGTCCTAACCTGGGGGTCAGATTCCCCCTCGCATGGGGCCTTCTGCCTGGTACAGACACCTCGGCTCACCTGTTCCTCTGCCCACGCGCCCACACAGTCACGATGATCGGGCTCAGTCACTGCAGGATGCCTGGGGAGCACCGAATTCCCCTCCATGCCTGGGCTCTCTCCAGGCCTTGTCCCCGGACTTGTGCTCGCAGCCCCCACTGGCCGCCTGCCCGGGTGCCTACACTTGTGTTGAGGGTGCATCAGGCCGGCCCTTTGGGCTTTCTGACCTCACACTGCTGCACTCCCCTCCCGCCCCGCTGTCTCCTACCTCCCTGGACTCCGCCCACTCCAGAACCCCCAGCCCTCCCTGACCGGCCCGTCACTGTGGCCTGTGGGTGTCTCTCTCTGGATCTCTGTCAGGCTGCAGACGGCCAGGGGACCGGCTCCTTCCCCACGGCAGCCCCAGCACCCCTACAAAGCTCAGCAGTGGAATACGCAGCCCCAAGCCGGCCAGGGGATGCCTCCTCCCCTCCCCAGCACCCAGGGGTGGGGCCCGAATCCTGAGCAGACAGACTGACTGACTGGCTGGCAGAGCCGCGGGTGCTGAGACCGAGCGCGTTCTGGCTGCCAGTCTGTAGCACCCGGCGCTATTTCAGATGCTCGTCACAGACGTTTTGAACTGCATTAGAATCAACAGAATTCTGAATTATCTTCTCAGCAGTACAGGGAGTAACTGTCACCCACGAGGGAACGCAGGGGGTGATGCACTTCCACGTGCTAATCCTCCAAGGGGAACATGTATGCCACAGGCGGTTCTAGAACCTTCTCACCCAGAGCTGCCCCTGCCCCCCCAACCCCGCACTGGCCCCGACTCTGGAGATTCGGGGGGTGGGGAAGCTGTCGGCACACCAGGCTCAGGGAAGCCATCTGGGCCCCGGGACAGCTGTGTGTCGGCCTCCAAGAGAGAACAGCCGAGGCAGGTGCATGGGTGGGGCTTGGGTCAGGACCGGGCCCCCTGCACGTGACACAGGCACCCACCAGGGGCCCCATGAGATACCCGGCAGCCGGCAGACTCAGGCCTGCTCTCGGGGGCTCTGCTGCCCCTCACCAGATGCCCACGTCGGGATCTTTGGGGACATCTTGGCAGGATACACCCCTGATATTTTCTGTGTGCGTTCCCTGAGGCTCATCAAAGCTGGCACCTGCTGCATTCCATCTCCAGGCGCCGCCCCTGGGGCCTTGGTCACTATCGGATCTGTGCCATCCCGTGTGCCGCTGGCTGGGCAGCCACTGCCTGCTCTTTTCCTGTCCACCACTGTGACGCCGGAGCCTGCAGTGGGAGCCCAGCATCTGCGAAGAAACGTGTGTTGGATGGAGCTTGGAATTAGAAGAAAGATCCGAAACTGCACAATGAAATGAGGTAGGAAAATTCATTTGCGTTCTTAAAAGCTGACAAATTTCAAAATATCACAGAATCTTTACATGACTGACTACGGTTATTAGTTTCCTGCTTGTGTAATTCGTTTTCCTGCCGCATAGCTTTGCTTGTTTACGGGATAAGTATTTTTGGTATCGTTTTCCACAGAGAGAATAGAAGGATATTTCCGCAGCTCCCCTAGCGCGGTCAGGTAAACTTAAAAGGAGCCATCGGTGGAGCTGGGAGCGTGCAGCCTGCAGACGGGCGCACAGACGCACCTGCTGTGGCGTCGACTGTGTTCCGTTCTAGATGCAAGGCCGGACGATTTGATTCACCCCAGCAAACAGCTGTCCACAGGGCCTTCCTTATCCTGGGCACGTGTAAGCCTTGCTCTCCCACTGTGGGCAGACCCTGCGGCTGGGCCGCGCAGGGCCAGCTCAGGCCAGAGAGCAGGGTGTTGGACACCCCAGGACAGGACACTGGGACTGGGATGCTGGGGCTGAGGGCGGCGGGTTGGCCTTGCTCCAGGATGCCATGTGGAAGAGCGCCACCAACTGCCCGCGCTGGGGTTGGAGCCTGGAGCAGAAGTGGTGGGCGGCCTGAGCTGGCTGCAGTCCTTGCGGTCACCCCCGACTTCCGCAACGTCTGTGAGTGCACGGTCACACGGCGGGGACGCTTCTGCTCTCGCAAGGAGCCCCCACGTCAGCAAGGGCCCCTGGGGCTCCCTGGCTCCTCTTCTTCAGCTGCAGACACCTGTGACGAAGCCAGCCACCCCCTGGCCGGACCCAGGCGAGTGCCCAGACCTGCCTCGGGCACTCTCAGCTCTCCCGGGGGGACGTCAGCGGAGTGGTTGGAGCTGCCAGCGCCGTGACGCCCTCGGTGGTGCGGTGCAGAGCCGCCACTCCAAGTTGGCTCGTGGGGAGGCTCAGGTTCTGTGAACGGAATGCAGCTGCCCAGTGCTCCCGCCCCTGACCCTGAGGCTTCCTGGGGCCAGAGCCCGGGTGGGGGAGGCGTCCTCCCCAGAGGGAGAGGGTGCAGGACCATTCTCATCCCGCTCAGCAGACGTCGGGGAGAAAGAGCCGCGTGCCGAGGAGGGGGTGACCAGTGGCAGGAGCCGGCGGGGAATCAGTCATTTGCCCGGCTGGGCAGGGAGAACGGTGCTCTGGGCGCCTCCCTCCCTTCACGCTGCGTGGAGTTCACGGGCCACCTGACGACCCGCGGGCAGCCAGCTGCCTGGACCTTGCCCTTCCAGCCGGATCAGGCTTGGAGGAGCAATTAGTGAATCAGCTGACGTCTTCCGGAGAGCGCTCAGGTCAGGAAAGCTAATTAACCTTACCCTTGCATCCCCACGAAGTAGCAAACACACCAGGGCAACGCTGGAACAGAACAGAGGGGAAGGGAAGCAGGGAGGAGGCGGGGAGGGCTCTGCAGAAGGGAGGCCGGTGGGGGGCAGTGCAGGAGCAGCGGCAGCCGGAGCCAGGATGGTCGCGAAGGCTCCGTGCCCCATCACGGGGTCCGCTCGGTGTAGCAGCCTGCCCCGTGCCCTGAAACACCCAGCCCTGTCCGCTGGGACCTTCTGCATGGGAAGGGCTGATGGGGGCCTCCACCCTGCACCTCGGGGTGCCCTGGACCTCCTGGGCTGACCTCCTGGAATCACGATGACTTGGGGTCACAGCCCAAGGCTGGCTGGACGCTGGCCTCTCCCCTCGCCTTTCGCTCTGAGAAGCCTCGCTGCCAGCTGCTTCCAGGCGTGGGCTCCGCTGTGGGCTTCACCTGAGCGCCCATTCCTGTCTCCGACACCGGCTGTGTGAGCTAGCTCGAGTTCTCCAAATGCAGGCCACGCCCCACTGAGTCCGGCTCGCTGGCTACCAGAGCGAACCACGGCGAACTCTGGGCGGTTTAGAAGCAATGGCAGTTGGTTCCCTCATGGTTCTGGGGACCCCGTATCTGAAATCAAGGAGACAGCAAGGCTCAGGATCCCGAGTCTCCTCCGGTGCTGCCGGCTCATCTGAAGACCCGAGAGGCATCAAAAAGTGGCGGTGACGAAAGAGAAGGATTAAAAGACAGCGGGAAACACAGCTACTTGTGTAGCGCACGACTCCCTGCGCTCACTCCTGTGGGCTGTGTGCACCTGCCACGTCCTGACTCCCCCGACCCGGACAGCCCGCGGGCTGGGGCCTCGCGCTCCCAGACGCTGGCATCCAGGAAGGCGATAACGCGATCAAGGCTCACAAATAGTCTTTCTCACACTCTCCCCCGAGAGACCACCTTCTTCCCCATGGGCTTTGACTCTGCCGAGGCTCTAACAGGGCTGTGTCGGGAAAGGGGAGGAGAACTGGGGCCAGCATCCCTCGCCTTGTTCCGAGCTGCACCCCTTGGCGCTTTCACTCCCCAGCCCTTGCACTATTTTGGGACCGTCTGGCATAGCTCTGAAACTAATGGTACAAACCACTATGTGATAAATTAAAACACATTGCATCCTGTCATCCTGCAAACAAGTAGCTTACTCCCAAGTCTTTGAGAAAGTACTTTCGAGATAAAATATGCACTTGTGGCTTCTGCAGGTTTTTAAAAAGTCCCGAATCTTCACAGATTTACTGGGGAGGAGGGGGTGTTTCGTGTAAAATGTGTTTTTCCTTGACATTTAGAGGTCTTGCGGAGTGGTTTATTATAGATCTTGTGGGCATCTTGATATTTAATTAAATCTCAGACATATATTCTGTGGAATATGAAGAATGTATTTATTCGCTGTCTATTTGTTATTCTTTTTCTGCTCCTAACACAAAATTATCAGCTGGAAGTAAGTCATCAGAGACACTTAAAATTTTTCGAGGTCGGAAATCTAATTAACCTTAGCAACTGTGCTTAAAATGTTGAATAACACCAGGCAAGTCCTCACAGGAAGGCTCGGCAATACCCAGTCCTGGCGATGTATTTACAACTGTTTCTCCAAGCTGACCTTTCACGCCTGTTTGCAAAAGGCAGGAGGGAAGGGGAAGCAGACTGGGGAACAAGTGACTTGTGGGGCCTCGTCCAATACATTTCAGTAAATTAGGGCGGAGCGCCAGCAGCCCGATTCATCAACAGCTTCTCACTTTGCATTTTTATGGGCTTGATGAGGAGCAGCTCCACAGTCCAGGGCGCTGGTGTGGACGGAGCCCTCGCGGCCTCTCTCGCCCCTGTTTCAACTCCAAGTCCAACCTGCAGGTCTGGGGTAGACCCAGCCCACAGCTGCCCAGGGCGACTGAGGTCGCTGGTATCGGTGGCCAGCTGAGCTGTCACTTTGTGCTTTTAGCTGCTCGCTCCTACGCTTCCGTTAGGGATTCTGGTCCGCAGTCCCTGGACGTCCTCCAGAGCATCCCCGGGGCCCAGAGAGTTGCCAGCTCCTCCAAGGCAGAGCCTGGGGGTGAGCAGCCCCTGGGCACGGTGAGGGCGGGGCCTGCTGGACCCCAGAGAGCAAACGGAGGACAGGGGCTGCGGGGGGCGGGGCAGGCAGCAGGGAGGTTAGAGACGGCGGGCAGGTGGTCAGCGGGAAGTGCTGTGAGGAGGCAGAGGTGGGAGGGCGGCCCCCTGGGTGGGCGCTGGGGTCTCCTGGGCAGGCTGGCTTAGGGAAGGGCGGGGCTGGAAGGGGCGAATCCCGGGGCGGTTGGGCACTGGGGGGGCATTAGCTTCCCGTGGCAGCTATGACAAACGGCCACTCACTCAGCAGCTTCAAGCAACACCCACACAGTGTCTTCGGGCTCCCGAGAGAGAACGTTGGACGTGGGGCCCAGGAGGAGGCTGAGTCTGGGGGCGTCGGGGCTGCAGGGGAACCCACGCCCCTTGGCCCAAGGCCCCGCCTTCCATCTCCATCACCTGCTGCCTCCCGGGGTCTGCGTTAGCAGGAACCTGGAA